CTTTATGTATTTTCTTCTTTTTAATTGTTGTTGATTTTGTGTTTGCTGAGTCTTTATATTTTTCTACTTTTTTATTTTGACTTGTAGGATTGGTAGTTTCCTTTGTGGTTACCTTAATATTTACCACTGTTTTTCTAAGTTTATACCTGTCTTTTATTTCTTTATATAGCCTTGACTTCCTCTCCATATGAAAAAAATCTATGTTTACATTTTTTAAGTCCCTCTTTTATGTTTTAATGTTGTCATCTTTTACATATTGATATCTGTTTCCCTATTTTCAGTATTTTCGCTTTGATTTACTTTTGTGTCTTACCTATCTGGGTTGATATCTGGTTGCTCTGTCCTGTGTTCTAGTCTTGGGTTGTTAGCTGATGTTACTGATTTTCTAACCAGAGGACTCTCTTTAGTATTTCTTGTAATTTTGGTTTGGTTTTTACAAATTCCCTAAACTTCTGTTTATCTGGAAATGCCCTAATTTCGCCATCATATTTGAGAGACAGTTATGCTGGATATGTAATTATTGGCTGGCAGTTTTTTTCCTTCAAGGCTTTATATATGTCATCGTATTTTCTTCTTGCCTGCATGGTTTCTGCTGAGTAGTCCGAGCTTATTCTTACTAACTCTCCTTTGTAGATGACTTTTCGTTTATCCCTAGCCGCTCTTAAAATTCTCTCTTTATCTTTGGTTTTGACAAGTTTGATTATAATATGTCTTGGTGACTTTCTGTTGGAATCTACCTTATGTGGGGTTCAATGAGCATCTTGGATCGATATCTTGTCATCTTTCACGATATCAGGGAAGTTTTCGGGCAACAAAACTTCAGTAATTCTCTCTGTATTTTCTATTATCCACACCCCCCACCCCAACCGCCCCGTTCTGGTACTCCAATCACTCGTAGGTTATTCCTCTTAATAGAGTCTCACATAATTCTTAGGATTTCTTCATTTTTTAAAATCCTTTTATCTGATTTTTCCTCAGGTAAGTTGTTGTCAAGTGCTTTATCTTCAGTCTCACTAATTCTGACTTCCTTTGCCTCAATTCTGCTCCTATTACTTTCTATTGTCTAACTCTGAAATTTTATTGTTAATCTTCTGGAATTCTGATTGTTGTCTCTGTATGGATTCTTGCAGCCTGTTAAATTTGTCATTGTGTTCTTCTCTAATCTTTTTAATTTCTTCTATTGTGTGTTCTGCATTTTGATTAATTTCCTTCCTAATTTCTTGAAGAGTTCGGTATAGTAATCTTTTATATTCTGCCTCTGATGATTCTGAGAAATTTTCCTCCTCAGGAAAATTTCCAGATTATTTTGGGAGCTTGCTGAAGCCATCATGGATTGCCTCTTTATGTGCTTGGATAGTGACTGTTGTCTCTGAGCCATCAATAAGTTATATATGTATTTATTTTATGTTTGCTTACTGTGTACTAGCTTCTTGTTTTGTTTTGATATGCCCAAATAGGCTGATCGTATGAGGTAGTTTGATTATTGGCATCTTTGAAGCTCTAATGTCCTGTCACCAGGTGGTTAGATCTGTTACTAGGTCTGCGAGCTCAGGAGTCCGCCCACTCCTCCTGTATGGATTCAGCTCAGGTGCCCTGGTAGATAGCCACCAAGTGTGTGGTGTAGGCTCTCACAATCCTAGACAGGCATGGGTGATTGGTGTAGGCACAGACACCTGGCTGCAGCAGGGGGACACACTCTGAACAAGGCAAGGGGCTGACAGCTGTCCCCAAGTGTCCAGGAGGAAGGTGTCTCCCAGTTTGCTAGAACGTGTAGGTCGGTGGGTTTTGTAGCCGGACTATGAGCACCTAATGCTGTTAGTTGTAAGGACTGGGAGGCACCTCTTATTCATGGGCCCCTATCGCAGGTGGCTAGGTGGCATGTGTGGAGACACCAGTCCTCAGGCCCCTGATGTGGGTAGGTGAAGACCCTGCGTAATGGGCAGAGCAGTGTCAAATGTCAAGAACCTACCACTTCACAGCTGAAACAGTTGAAGTTAGGGTTCCAGTATATACCCTGTTGTACTGTGGTAATGAGGGGCTATGCTGTTGAGATGGGCCCACACAAGTCTATGCAATGGGAAAGGCACTCAAAGTCCATGGATCCCTTATGCATGTGCCTTGGCAAAGAGCTGTGCCTACCCTGGGTTCCTGGCTTAGGGGAGCCGGCGGTTTATTTTTCCCCGTTTGTTAATTTGTTCACTCTCCAAGGCAGGGAGAATGGCTCGGCGTGTGATGGATCCTACTTCTGGCCCGGGGTACTCGGCAGTTGCTGAAGCTGGTCCAGACCCAGTGCAGAGCAGGGAGTGGGGAGTTAAATGGGAGAGAGGTTTTTCCCTAAGGGGGGTGTTTTTGATCCGTGCAGTAAGCTGTACGCAAGTACTTATCTTTCGCTGATGAGGGCTGCTTCTCACTGGTTCTGGGTGGCCGAAGAGACTCTCGGGCTGGTTCTCTCCTGGTGCAGAATGTGCCTCCCGAGCACCGATGCTTGCCTGCCTCACCACTCACCCCCAAGCTGATCAGGCCTGAAGGGCTCAGGCTCTTGCCGGGTCAGATCTGGCAACTCCTTGCTGCTTCTGAACCGTCTCTCCCTCCCCCTGCCGCTCAGTCCAGTTCCTCAACTCTGCCTTTGATGTTCAGCGCTCCCAGATTGCCATATATAATTGAATCACTTGTTTTTTGGATCTTTGTTGTAATATGGTCCACTGGAAGCATCTGACTACTCTGCCATCTTGGCTCCGCCTCCCTAATCTAGTCACTTCCATCTGAACTCAGTCAAATTCAGTTATTTTTTTTTCAGAAATTTTAGGATTTAGGGTCTGTGTCACTTTCGGGATTGCTCCCTTCACCCCTTCCATCCTGGCTTTCTTATCATCCTCTATGCAGGTATGATGGCTCCGCCATGTTGACATGTATTGCAAGGTCCAGTTTCCCAAGAGAGAGCCTCTTGAGGATTGCCAAGTCCACCTCAGCTAACTTCTGTACTTTTCAGAGTTATGAGGAAATTACTGATTTTACTGGCTTTTTGGGTCACAAGCTGCCTTTAAAAAAAAAACTAGTTGCCATTGAGTTGATTCCAACTCATGGTGACCCTGTGTGTGTCAGAGCAGAACTGTGTTCATGGGTTTTCAATGGCTGATCTTTTAAACGTATATCATCAAGCCTTTCTTCCAAGGCACCTCTGGGTGGACTGGAACCTCCCACCATTCATTTAGCAGCTGAGACTGTTAACCGTTTGTACCGCTGGAACTCCCAGGCTGCCTTAGGTTCCTTATATCCAAGTACCCTAGGCAGCCCCCTCAGTCTTGTATGTAATCTCTGGTGCTCATGTGGGCTGCGCCTTTGGACAAGCTAGCTTGAATCAGAGCACTTTGATTTACTCTCCTAACACTGAACTTATGCATGTGTGTATTAGTTCTACTGTCACACTCCCATCTTATTGGGCTGCAAGAGGAGATAGGTATAGGGACCTTGTCTCAGGAACACTCATCAATGGTTAATCTTGCTTCCTCTCCAGCTCCAGCCTATCTCCCTTGAGAACTTGGTGACCTATTGAATATAAAGGAAGGTGAATATAGGTAAAGGAGTCACAGAGTACTTTCAGGGACCAGCTTGGGGTTACTGGGAAATTAAAGATAGGGTTGCTGTATTTAAGTTATCTATTGCTGTGTAAAACAAAATTACCCCAAAACTTAGTGACTTAAAAGAGCAATAATCATTTATTTTTCTCATTGTTTCTGTGGATCATGAATTTGCTCTATGATATTTGGAGCTTCAGTTGGAAGATTTAAAGGCTGGGTCCTGGAATCACCTGCAGTTTTCTCCGGCAACACCTAGCCTGGGAAGCCACACAGCAGCACTTTTGCCATAGTATGGTGGATGGGGAAGTCAGCACTCTCTGCTCAGATAAAACGGATGGGAACACAGACTCCACTTCTAGTGGAAGGGTGAATGTCAGTCACATTGGAAGAAGAGCTTGTAGGGTGAGTTAACTAAATAGGCGTGGCCATCTTTGAAAAATACACTATCCCACAACTGCCAAAAAGAACAGCAAGGGTGGAGATTTTACTTTTTTTAGGAAGAACTTGGATTTGGATTGGGGCATGTTGAGGTATTTGCTTTGTATGTTGTCACTCTTTATTTTTATCTTCTATAGGACAATCAATATAAAAGGAAATAATGTTACAAAGGCGCAATGGTTCTATGCCTGCAGCTAACGATTCAAAGTTCAGTAATGGGTTCCCAAAATATGAGAATAGTCAAAGCTAACATTAATATTGTTTTGTGTGGTAAGATAGAGGAAAGCAGTGCAATATAATAATACCAGTTCAGACTCCCGCGCTCTCCCATTGTGCAATTATGGGCAAAATTTAACTTTTTTGTGCCTTAGTTACCTCATTAGTTGAACGGTAGGTAATAGTAGCATCTAATTCACGGAGTTTTTCTGAATATGGTGTTAGTTGCTATCCAGTCGATTGTAACTCGTGGAGATCTCACGTGTGCCGAGTAGAACTGCTCCATAGGGTATTCAAGACCCTGTGACCTTTAGGAAGAAGACTGTCAGGCCTTACTTCTGAGGTGCCTCTAGGGTGCCTTTGAACTGCCAACCTTTCAGTCAGTAGTCCAGCCCTTAACCATTTTCGCCACCCAGGGACTCTGAGGACTAATATAATCCTTATTAATTGTTCAATAAAGCTGGTGATTAATATGTCTTCTATTCCTATTCTTTCTCCTACAGAAAGGCAATTGCAAAATTCTCTCATCATAAACTAAAAGCTAATTAGATTGCTTCAAAATATTTTCATGATTTTCCTTTGCATTTGGTGGGTGGGCGTGTAACTGAGAAAAGCAGGCTTAGTGAATGGAAAAGGTTCAGTTTACAGATCAACGAAAGTCCTCAGGAGGTCAGATATGTTGGAAAGAAGAACTAGCAGCTTGTCAGGTGCCTGCTGGCAACTGTTCAAGTAAAGCTTCAGACCGCGTCGTACTGTCAATTAGGCTGCCGGCGGGCCAATAGCCCCCGACCGTAGCCGAGGACCGTCGCGGTCCGAGGCGCCCATTGTAGGAGGCGTCCGGAGGGCGGAGCCCACTCCAGGTTGAGGGGTCGACGGGCAGAGAAGCGCGGCGGAGTTGCGGCGCGGAAGTCCAACGTGGCGGCTCTTGAAACTACCGTTCTGCGCTGAGCGACCATGGCGGTGCTGACGGTTCTTCTGCACGGCGGCCCCCGCGGGCGCAGCCCCCTGCTTCAGAGGCTGATGCAGGTAAGAAGGTCTCGTCCCTCTGGCGGGGCTCGTCCCCAGGGCTGGCTCGGGGAGCCCCGGGCGGCCCTCAGCCCCACACGCCCGCCTGCCGGCCCCTGGACGCCCGGGCCGCGCTTAGACCCAGCGCGCCGGTTTCCGGCCTTGGAAGGTTCCTGCCGGCGGCGCCTGCGGCCCGGCGGAGCCTTCGGTGTAGGCCTAGGAACGGTCCCCGGAAAAGCCCTGGAATGCTCCCACCGCGGGTAGAGACCCGCGTGTTTTTACAAACTACGTTTCCACTCCCAGCATCTCCGCCGTAATCATAATTATTATTATTGGTCTGTTAAACGGGGCACATATTTTGGAAGGCAGAAAGGCCCGGGATGCACTCTTGCTTTGAAGGCCGGTAAAACTTCCGAATTTTCTTTAAAATACATTCGTGAGCATTATTGTCAAGAGAGATTTTTTTTCCTCCATGCAACAGGTAATCAAGGTGCTTACAAGATGCGAGGCACTGTATGATAAACAGATGTTTATAACATTGGAGCATCTTAAAACTTATCAAGAAGAAGAAATGGCTATTCTATACAAAGAAATAAATTTTATTGATATACGAGTTAAGCTTACATAATGAGGGTGTTGAGAGAGGTCTTTCTCCTCTGGCTGTTGTGTATTGGGAATACAGTAGTGACAGAGTCTTGAAGGAAAAAACCTATTTTCTATTTGTCGCAGCAAGGGAGCTTGCACTCCACCCGCATTTTTTTAATTGTACTTTAGATGAAGATTTACAGAACAAATAGTTTATCCTTAAAACAGTACACATATTGTTTTATGACTGTGGTTAACAACCCCACGATGTATCAACTCTGTTTCTTCTCAACCTCGGGTTCCCTATTACCAGCTTTCATGTTCCCTCCTGCCTTCTAGTCCTTGTCCCTGGACAGTTGTGCCCCATTCGTCTCGTTTTGTTTATGGGACTGTCCAGTCCCCGGCTGAATGGTGACCCTCGGGAGTGACTATTACTGAGCTAAAAGGGTGTCCGGGGACCATACTCTCAGGGTTTCTCCACTCTCTGTCAGGCCAGTAAGTCTGGTCTTTTTTTGTGAGTTAGAATTTTGTTCCCCATTTTTCTCCGGCTCTGTCCGGGACCCTGTGTTGTGTTCTCGGTCAGAGCATTCAGTGGTGGTAGCCGGGCACCATCTAGTTGTACTGGACTCACTCTGGTGGAGGCCGTGGTAGTTGTGGTCCATTAGTCCTATGAACTAATCTTTTCCTTATATCTTGTTTTCTTCATTCTCCCTTGCTCCCAAGGGGGTGGAACCAGTGGAGTATCTCAGATGGCTGCTCACAGGCTTTTAAGACGCTAGACACTACTCACCAAGGTAGAATGTAGAACATTTTCTTTATAAACTATGTTATGCCAATTGAGCTAGATGTTCCTCGAGACCATGGTCCCCACAGCCCTCAGCCCAGCATTTCAGTCCCTCAGGGACACTCCACCCACATTTAAGATCTGGCAAAGCCTGAGGAGTAAGAACGGTTGGTGAAACTTGAATTTTCCAGTTTGGTTGGGGTAAAAAACTTTGAAATCCAGTCATGTTGTATGAGTATGACCCCAGTCAATGGGGCAGTTGCTAACCCAAAGGTCGGCAGTTCAAATCCACCAGGCACTCCTTGGAAACCCTATGGGGCAGTTCTACTCTGTCCTATAGGGTCACTATGAGTCAGAACCAATTTGACGGCAACGGGTTTGGTTTGGTTTTTTGGTAATGGGAGCAATTGATATTTTTCTTTTTGACATAATCAGAGGTCAGACAGTATTGGAATGGGCAGAAAAACTAATAGCTGCCTAGGTGTAACGTAACATAAGTTGAACTAGTGTGATAGCATTAGGAGCTGCAAACGAGTAGCTTTATGCAAGAGATTATGAAAGAATAAATGTACGACTTGGTAATTATGGAGTGAGGGTGGGGAGCCAAGGCAAAAGTAAGAGAATAAAGTTAACCCTGGGTGACTGGGATAGAAAAATAGAAAAATCAGAAAGAGGAGTAGGTTTTCAGGAAAGATGAGTTCTTAATCAGTCTGTTTGTTAGTTTCGTGGAATGACTTGGGAAATCACAAAGATTTAATTAGGTAACCTGGGTTTCAACCAAGGTTAGGTGAATTGGGTGCACTAGGTACTCTAGGTATGTATAAAACAAGCGCAGAGCCTTTTACTTAATTTATGGCTTAATTAAGAGCTTACAAGCAAACACAAAAGTTGCTGAAGAGAAAAATGAAGCTGTAGGTAATATAGCATGATTTGTGGAGCTCATTTTACTGAACTCTAGGAATCAGTTGTATTGGATGTTACTTGAATTAAGTGGTCATTTACTGAGCCATGAAAATCTGTATGTTTAACAGGATTTTCAATGTTCAGTGCTATTTGACCTCTCACCTACTAACACATTGGCTCTCTGCCCTGTGCCTTTAAATATGTATAAGTCTCCCTTACTTTCAACAAACATTTATAGACTTCATGGGAGCTTGTTCCCCTTCTAGCTCTAATCACTTTTTTTGTATAGGGTAAGAAGTCTTTATTTAGCATTTCCATTTATTGTACATCCATTTCTCTTTATCACTCTGCAGTGAAATTTCTGTGCAGCTCAGCTCAAGAATACCAGTGGTTTTCTTTTTCTGTGTTTTTTTTCTTCTTGGCCTTTATACTGTATTTGACACTGTTCACCACTCCTTCCTTGAAACTCCTATTTTGCTGCTTTGATCCAATATTATTCGGCTTCTTGTAATACTCTGAGTATTAAAATATTTTCCCACATTGATCTAGTTCTGGGCCTGCTTGCTTTCAGGTTCGTTTCTCTCCCCTCCTCTGCTCTGTGCCTGTTGCCGTGGGGCTGACGTTTGCTGGCTGTTTTTCAGACTGCAGTGTGTCAGCTGACTTCTGACTGGGTTCAGCTGCTGAAAGGCACTGACGAGAATGGAAAATAGGAGAGAGAAGCCAGGATCTTTTCTTTCTTTCTCTCTGCCTGCCTTAGGTGGTGTTTTGGGCAGTGACTGTTTCTCCGCTGTGGTTCCTGCTTCAGCCAGGTGACCCTGACCCTTTGGTTTTGATAACCTTTCTCCTTTTGGCCCAGTAGCTTATGCATGTTAGTACATTCCTGTTGTTGTTAATCTCTGTACAGCCTGACTGCCCTCTGTTGTTTTCAGCCCTTACGTAACCTGCATATTTAATTCCCGGCACTAAATTCTGTTTCAAATAGAGGAGTTCTTGGGTGGCACAAATGGTTAAGAGCTCAGCTACTAACCAAAAGGTTGGTGGTTCAAGTCCGTTCAGAAGCACCTTGGAAGAAGAGCCTGGCAGTCTACTTCCAAAAAATCAGCCATTGAAAACCCTGTGAGCACAGTTCTATTCTGATACACATGGGGTCTCCATGAGTGGGATTGGACAGCAACTGGTTTTGTTTATTTGAAATAGAAAGATTTTTGTTTTCCTGGCTGAATCCTAATGGATACATTCATTGTTTTTGCTTTCTTCCCATTCCCTTCCACTCTGTCCATTTTCCAGCCTCAGTCCTTGGACCTCTCCTTACAGGGGCCATAAGAACAGTCAGAACACTGTGGTAATCAATCAGGCATCGATAGCAATCTAATGTGGTAAATAAGCATGGAGAGAAATGGTAGAATCAAGAGATACTAATGGGGTAGAATCAGTTGAACTCTGACTGATTGAGAGAGAAGGCGTATGATTTTTGGGGTCCAGCCTACAGCATGTAGGTGGATAGTGGAAGTTTTTACTGAGGACAGGGAATGTAGGAGGACGAACAGATTTGGGGGTGGATAGAAAGTGATGAGCTGAATTTTGGACTTAGGTTTGGAGTTGTCCAGTCAGATGAGCGGTTCTGAAGTGTAGGAGAATGACTGGACAAGATACCAATTTGGGAAGCATTAGCTGTAGATGATAGTGGAATCCACGTAATTAATGAGCTCACCTGTGTGTAAAGGGGTAAGAGAAGAGGTCTAGCATGGGGCCTGTGGGAGACACAGTATTTCCCAGACAGGCAGAGCAAGCAGAAACCTTGTTTCTGCTTGTAGATTGGGAAGAAGAGAATGAGACAGCAAAGGATATGGAGAAAAATAGCTAGTGTAGGAGGAGGAAAACCACAAGATTGTGGTATAATGGAAGCCAAGAAAAGTGAACATTTCCATAGTGCTTTACACATGCTACTTCATGTCTTCCTCACAACAGCCCATGGAGGGTATTTGAGGAAATCAAGGCAAAGCAAGTTTAAATAACTTGCTCAAGAATACTTGGCTAGTAAGCCCAGGCTTTTAACCACTATGCATATTTCCCAAAGAAGAAAACTGAGTCCAGTGCTAATGAGAGGTTAAGTGAGATGATTGCAGTGAAGCATTTATTGGAGTTGGCCAGATAAAAATTCTTGTTGACCTTGCTCAGAGCCAGCAGTGGTAGAGTGGTGAAGAAAAAAGCTAGATTAGAGTTGGTTCAACAGTAAACAAGTGTGTAACGTGCTGGAGAATTTTTATTGTAAAAGCGATCTAAGTGATGAGGTACAAGCTCAGAGGGAATGTGGATCAAAGGAAATTTGTCTTTATTTTCCTTTTTAGGTAGAAGGAACTGGAGCCTGATCGTAGGCTTATGGAATGATGCAGGAGAAAAGGGAATGAATGATGTAAGGGAGAGGGAAGGGTTAGTTGAAGGTGTGCGGTCTTTGAAAAGGCTACCAGAGATGGAATCAGGAGCAAAGTGGAGAGACCAGGGACCCTTCAATTAAACTGAACCAGAAACTTAAAAGAGTAGATAGATGTGGCTTAGTAAAGGCCTTTGATTGCAAGTAACAACAAACATCTCTCTCCAAACTAGCTAAGTAGAAAGGGGAATTTTTGAAGGGATACAATAGACAAGCTCTTGGACTTCCAAGGATAGAAATAAAGTGCACCTGGCCCTGTCAGAATTGTAACTAGAAAATCATGAACCAAGGGTATCTTCTTTTGTCTCTTGTAGAGTGCTGTGGTCTTTTTCTCTTGTTCTCTGAGAATATGTGTTCTATTCCTTTGCTTCTCTGCTTACTCATGGCTTTTCTTGTTGCCCTAACCTCTTTTGCCCCTTATGACCTTTCAGCTCAGGTGCCCACAATCATCCAGGTGACCGAGTCTCTGTGTGCCAGCTTAGGTCAGTCCATTCTGTTTTTGCTCTTATCAGCTTTTGCCAATGCAAGGGGAGTTGCTTTGTAGGTACTTAGGGCTGCCCCTTCCAGGGCTCTCTAAGAAGGGGGTGTAGTTGCAGAGGCAATGACTGGCATATTTACTACAACTAGGAACTTTTTATTCAAGATTGGATCGCAGATAGAATGCTAGCATCCCTTACGATAAGTAGGTTATATAAGAAGCAGCCCAAACTACATGACATGTTAAGGGTACACCTCTTTTTTGCCCAGCTGATACTGAGGAGCACATCTGCTGAGCACATGCGCTTGAACCTTGTCTACAGGAGCCCAGACGTGTGCTGGCCTGGGCAGTAGTGCACACTGTCACTTAAGTGGACATGAAAGTTGAGTTCTAGTAGAAACCAACACGCATTTTCCTAATCTTAATGACACAGCTCTGAGTACAGATCAAGTAACACATTGTGATCTCTGTTTTATTAACATTTGATATATTTGAAAGATGAAATTTAAATAAAATGTTTGTGTAATTCCCTGTGAATTCCAGAGGCGGCTTGCTTATTATACTACTCTTGTAGTTCTTACCCAATTCCGTTTTAGGAATATCCACACGTGACTTTAACATTTCTCCTCTACCAGATTATCATGCTACTTGAGTTTAGGGACCATGTTTTAAAGATCTGTAATTCCTGATCTTGTTTTCTGTAAGGTAAGTGTTCTCAACAGCTTTATTGAGCAAATGAAGGATCAGTAGTTTTATGTGTTAGTCACTGTTCTCACAAAGACTGTAAAGTTATCTCTTTGAGGCTGGGTTAAATATTTGTGATGATGATATTTTTTAGTCAAATTAGGGGTAAATTAGGTTATTTCCTATAGCCAAGTTTTTAGGAGTAATAAGTTTCCACGTAAGAGAGACGAATTCCATTATGTTAACATGGCAAAAAAGATCACCCTAGAGTTAAATTCTATTCTTCCACTATCTAGGAACATAGTCTCTTAAACTACCATTTGCATGTATTCTCATCCAAACCCTTTTTTTCTCCCCTGTGCTATATTTGGAATTGACTTGATGGCAACGGGTTATTTTAAATTGAAAGCTTTAGTTGGTTATTTTCATTGAGTCAGAACAAAGCATGTTTAATCCTTAAAAAGCTAAGTTTTTGGGTCAATTTAAAGTTTTTAGATATTTGTAGACTTGTTAATTGCTCCATGAGATATGACTGACAAGTGTGTTTTTTAAATAAGCTATTAAGATTAGTTTCTAAATATAAGCTGTATGTTTTCTGAATTCAGAGGGTAAAACATTTTATTCTTTATTTGTCCTGTAAATAGATCAGTTTCAGATCAGTGATGTCTCTGAACTGCCACCTACGTTTTCAGATTTTGTTTTTGTTGGCACTTGTTGCTAAGAACAGAGTGGAAAGAAATGAAAAGTAGGGGAAAGATACTTCTTTCCTTTCATAAAAAAAATCTGGTAGTATAGATCGTATTTATATGAAGTATGTGTGTGTCACATAAATCAGAAACATTTATTGAAAGTGAAGAGGGAGAAACAGTAAGTTTTACTTAAAAAAATATTTTTTTAAGCAATGAGAATATTTTCTTCTAAAATTACTTAATTTTGAACTTAGATTTAACTTAGAAAATTAAATTTTATAAAAGTGTATACTTTAAAAAGGCTTAGAAACTTTAAGATAAGGAACTCATCTGAAGTTAAAATATACATTCCCAACATGTTTATCAGAAAAGTTAATCAGGAAAGTATTGTATACACTTTATATTGTAAAGTCGTGTCCCTCCCCCGATTATAAAAGTGATATATGCTCATTGTGGAAAATCTAGAAATAAAAGTATAAAGAAACAGAAAAAAGTATAAAGAAGCAGAAGAAAACCATCATAACCCTATCACTGAGAAGTATAAAATGATGTAGATTAATATGTTCTGCTTTGTAACATTATATATATTTCTATTACAGGAAATAAGATATATGAAGCGAAGTTATGTAGTAAAACCCACACTGAATGTAAGTATAAATTTAAATTGTGCTCTAAAGTTTTAATAATTTGAAGAAAATGTAGTTAATTAAAAAATGCATATACTTATGATTCAGGTATATGTGAAGGTCAGCTCAGGATTATGGAATGGTTGGGAATAGTTAATTACTGAAATCCTAATTTAAACTTTCAGATTAACATAAAAAAATTTCAATCCAATTCCCTGCATAATTCCTGTTTCTTCCCCACAGTGTGCTGTAAAACAGCCTTCCCTCTAAACCTGGGCAGTGTTCTTCCTTTACCCTCAGGGACCTTCACTGTATTGTGTGTAGTACAGTGCAGAGGCCACATGGAGATCCTAGAAGAGAGGGATTGAACTGAGCTGATGATTAGACCTCATCACCTACTGCTCTCTGATCACCTAGTACTCCTCTTTGTTTTATAAGGGTTTCTAAAGTGACTCTAATCATCTTCTATCAAAACCTAAGGGGCCCTGTTGGCTAGGGTTGTTTACTAAGCAGTTAACAAGATTAGAGTGACTGACTTCTGGGCAACATGGTGCTATAGACAGAAGCACCGCTCTGTCCCTCCACAGCAAAGATCTGAAAAACTAAGTCAAACAGAGACACTCATCAGTCCTGAAACCCTGCGCATCAAATGAAGAGATAAAGAACTTAGCTGAGCACTGAATGGGTTAAGAAACTGCTTCAAACCTAGGAAGATAATGGTAAATTTCAAGGTAACCACAAAGTTAACAAACCTATTCATCAAAATAAAGAAGAAAAACAAAGTCTCAGTAAAAACAAAACCTACAAAAACAAAAGAAATGGAAAAAAAAAAAACCAACAAACAAAAGGAATTCAGCACAGGAGAGTAAGAGGAACAAAGAAAACATCAGCACTACAAAATGACAGCAATAAACTCACACCTATCAATAATTACATTGAATATAAATGGCCTAAATGCACCCATAAAGAGACGGAGAGTGACAGAATGGATAAAAAACCAGGATCCATCAATATGCTGTCTACAAGAGACACACCTTAGAAACAAAGATGTAAATTTATTAAAAATCAAAGGATGGAAAAAAATATATCATGTAAACAGCTACCAAAAAAGAGCAGGAGTGGCAATACTAATCTCAGGTAAAATAGACTTTAAAACAAAATCCACCATAAAAGACAAAGAAGGACACTATATAATGATTAAGGGGATGATTCATCATGAAGGCATAACCATGATAAAATCTATGCAACCAATAACAGGGCTCCAAAATACATAAACTCTAACAGCACTGAAAAGAGAAATTGACAGTGTCACAGTAATGGTAGGAGACTTCAACACACCACTCTTAGTAAAGGACAGAACATCAAGAAAGAAACTCAAAGATACAGAAGACCTAAAGGGCACAATCAGCCAACTTGACCTCCTAGACATATATATAGAACACTACACCCAACAGGTGCAAAGTACACATTCTTTTCCAATGCACATGGAACGTTCTCCAGAATAGACCACATCTTAGGCCACAGAGCAATCAACAAGATCCAAAATGTCGAAATAATACAAAGTATCTTCTCTGACCACAATGCCATCAGGGTAGAAATTAACAACAGGAAGAGCAAGGGGGAAAAAAAAAATCAATTACATGGAAACTGAATAACACCCTGCTTACA